TGTGTATCAGAGTGTGTGTGTGTGTGTGTCTGTGTGTGTGTGTGTGTGTGTTTCTGTGTAACAGAGTGTGTGTGTGTGTGTGTGTGTGTATCATGTGTGTGTGTGTGTCTGTGTATCATGTGTGTGTGTGTGTGTGTGTCTGTGTATCATGTGTGTGTGTGTGTGTCTGTGTATCAAAGTGTCTGTGTGTGCGTCTGTGTATCAGAGTGTGTGTGAAACAGTCTGGCACAGTCTGATGCAAAGTCCGACGAAACAGTCTGGCACAGTCTGACACAGACACACTGACACACAGACACACTGACACTGACACAGACACACACATACACACACACACACATACACAGACAGACAGACACACATACACATACACAGAGAGACAGAGACACACACACACACACACACACACACACACACACACACACACACACACACACACACACACACACACACCGGCTCTCCCCAGAGGCCCCTCCAAGGCCCCGCCGGCGACCGGTACCGGCCCAGGCGAACCCGGTTTGCGGGCCTTGAAAACACGTTCTCACGAACGTGTTCTCGACCCGTTCGTCGAACGGGAGAACGCGTTCGCCCGAACGGAAAGGGCCGCGAACACGTTCGCTGTGCTACGCAGGTTGTAACCATGATCGTATCTTTTTTTTTTTTTTTTTTTTTTTTTTAAATAGCCTGGCGAATGCGTTTAAACTTTAAACAGATGGATGAGGAGGGGGTGGGAGAGAATCGTTCCACAACTGGATTTCTGGAAGTGCCTACCGAAGCTCGAAGCTCTGCTGAGAGAACGATGTTTTTTTTTTTTTTTTTTTTTTTTTCCCCAAAGACTGCAACTGGCTGAGAGAATGATATGTGGTCCCAGATTTTTACTCCGGGTTGTTTGTGGAGGTTTTCCCGGTCTCCCCTTTGTGATAATAAAATGAGCTAAGTTTTCTTTGAAAAAAAAAAAAAGAAAAGAAATCATATGTTTTTTTCTTATTATCGAAAAGTCACTTTAGTTGGTGCATATGACCAAATTACCAATGTGTCTCAGCACATGGGCCTTGGAAACTGGCAGATAGTACCTAGGCTACCAGAGGTCCAGAGTGGCCCGGGGCCACTTCCCCGGCCAGGCCAAAAAAAAACAAAAAATAAATAAAAAATTAAAAAATTAAAAAATATATATATATTTTTAACTTCATTTTTTATTTTAAATATGGTAAAGCATTTCGATGTAACCCTGAGGCAAAAGTTGTTCAGTTTATTTTCTGCATAACATAGTTTTTTTTTTCGGATTTTTAATTCTTTTAATTAAGTTATTATTATTATTATTATTATTATTATTATTATTATTATTATTATTGCTAGACCTTCCCTGGGGCCTCGACCCACTAGCGAAGCGTAAATCGGTGTGTGGCACTTTAAAGGCATTAAAAAATCGCAAGAAAATGTTTTCTTCGAATTTATTTTTCCGTCTTCGGACATAAAAAAATTAAAAAGAAAGTAACCGCCAGTTGTGTCTGCCATCCGTCATTATGACAGCGGATGCAAAACGAGGGAGCGCATGTGGCCCCGCTGGCCGCCGGCACGCATGAATCGGGGAGGACATTGTGGGCATGTGCGCCCGACCTCCTCGGTATGTAAGTGCACCGGCGCCAGCCGAGTGGAAACATTCCAGTCCAAATTCGTCCTCCCTTTCCATTTCCAGTAAGTGCAGCGTCTACAGCTGAGGCGGCGCTGGCGACTGGCGAAACACCTTAGCGGTTGATGAGCCGACGGCTAACACTTCTTTTGGGGTGGTGGGTGGAATGCCCGGCCGTGTGGTTTTTGGCGACCGAGGCAGTCAGCGAACTGGCATTGAGGGTTGGCTGGGGGTGCACATTGAGGGTTGGCTGGGGGTGCACATAGAGGGGGGTTGTGGGTTGGCAATCCAGGGTATGGTGGCAGTGCACAACGTGATTCGGCTCAGTGTCAGCAATGCCGCGACTCAGGAGGAGACAGCGAGAAGAGGTCGCTGGTGCAGTCATGGCCATTGCCGGGAGGATGGCCGAGGATGTGTTCCAGTCCCTGGATTCCCTGCTGGGGGCCCGGAGCTTGACACCCCTGTTGGGCCCTCACTTGGAAAGCATGGGCTCGGCCGGTGGAGAAGACGGCGATGACCAAACATGGGGACGGCGTGGTCTGGTATGGTTGTTGCCAGCCATCATTCACATCTGCAACCTGTCTCCGCGGGCTCCGCCTAGGTGGTAGGTGATGAGGCGGACAGCTGGGTTGTGGAGGGACCTCGTTCCGACCGACGATGCCGAGAACGACCATTACATAGGACTCCTGCGCATGCGACGTTCGACATTCAACAGACTGCTTCGTAAGGTCGGTCCGCTTTTGGAAAAGCAGGTCACTAAGTTCCGGTTGCCATTGCCGCCTGCTAAGAAACTTGCGTATGCTCTCCATACCGACCCTAAACCCGAGAAGCAACGGAAGAGGTGGCGGAAGCGGCCGTGTGATGGTGGACGACGGTGGGCCTCGCTCCAGTACGAAAGGGCGCTCACTTCTTTCTCACACATTCACGCTCTTCGAATCGTCCGAATGCATCTTCTCCCTGAAGCGTCCAAATGCATGCACTGCGGCGTGTACCAGAGCGAGACCCGAACTGCTCGTATGGGGAAAAGGACAACTGCCTAGCGTTTTCACATACCCACTTACCCAATCTGGAAAATCAGGGAACGCCTCCGTTCAGAAAGTATCATGTATGCGGGTGAACATAGACAGACTGCTAGACCCCATTCGAGTGTAGTGGTCGGAACGTGGACGCACTTTCGGACTGCGTGCTACCAACCCACAACACAACACTGACACAAATCTTGCCGGCGTCTTTCATGGGCACGCGCGTAGAAGACGGCGGAAGGAATCGTTTTCCGACGTTTTCCTCATTTTTGCGACGACAACTTCCGTTGGCGCGAAGCTTCAAAATCACCCCATGGGTAAAAAAACACTGATTTTGAAGCTTCGCGCCAACGGAATGTGCCCAACAAAATTACGCACAAAACAATTCTAAAACATCCTACTGGCCGGCTGCCACTCCGACGGCCTTCCCGACTCCAAAACTCGCTGCGCAGTCGATGTGGACGGCGATCGGCGGCTGCCGTGAGTCACCCCAGGCCGCACGTGGTCGAAAGCCCAGCCGCGAAGCAAAACTCTTCGCTAGTGGGTCGAGGCCCCTGGTCCTTGCACGGCCAGGCCGCCCGGGAAAATAGGGTGACCCGGGTGGCCCGGCTGGTAGCCTAGGCGGATACTAAATATACCTACAATTTGCAATACTGGATTTTTATCATTTTACTAATTCTTAATTATTTCTTACAAAAAACATACCCGTGCGAGCATATTTCTGGAGAACTCCCACACACATAAAGCAAAGCTATCAAAAGCAAAGCTATCAAAGGTATCAAAGGTATCAAGGCAAAGGTATCAAAGGTATCATCACAAATGGCTTACAGCATTCAACAAAAAACGACTGCAAAACAGTGCAAAGGTATCATAGCTGCACAGATCAGCCTAGACACTCCCGCACACATAGAGCAATACAGATCCTATTAATAACCTTATTATGTATATAATCTTATTATGTATATAATCTTATTATGTATATAATATTATAATCTTATTATGTATATGGATTACGAACATGGTACAGCCTCACTCCAGCAATGCTGCGTCTCCCACTCCGTGAGCTGCAACCTTGCACTTAACCTTTGGTCAAGGCTACACGTGTAGCAATAGTCATGTGTTGGAGGTGGTTATTCATGTCGGAGGTGGCTCCGGCTGAAATTATCTAAGGACATATCTCGAGGCCGTCGCCCTTCTTTTTTCTCCCTCTCCTTTTTTCACTAAGCCCACCACTTCCTTCCGCCCTCTTTTTCCCCTACCCTTCTTTCGCTGCTCGCCAAACAAACCCAAACCAGCGCAGGCACTTCCTTTCTTTCCTTTTTTTTTTGCCTGCCCCCGCCAGCCATTATGACCTTTCCGGTACCGCTACTCATCCGATAAATTACAGTTTTAAACGCTCGCCGGCAACCTTCGCCCGTCGAAGGTACCGGCCAATGACGCACTAGTTACGTTGACACACTTGGAATTTGAAACTAACCCTTCGCAGTTTCACCTGCAGTGCCTTGACTGTGACCTGCCAGTTCGTTGCAGTTAAGCTCAACGTCGCTTGACTCGCTTGCTTGAGAACGTCTGACACCATTCCTCGATTTTTTTTTTTTTTTTCCCCCGATCAATTTGATTCTTTAATTTGGACCCGGTTTCCAGCAGGTGTTGCTCCCCACCAATAGATGGAGCTTGTTTTTGGTGTAAAAAAAAAGAAGAAAAAAACAAGACTTGATTTCTTGACATTCCTTTCAAGTTTTTGATTCTTCGATAGCACACATTTGCTTCTCTGATTAATTAGTAATTATTATGATTTAATATTTTATTAATTAATTCAAGAACTTGAAAATAAAAAAAATCGAGTCCACTTATGCAACTGCCAAAGAACACAAGCTCCTTCAGTTTGCGATGCCATTCACCCATTTGGTCAAAAAAAAAAAAACAAAAAAAAACACATTACGGTCCACGTGTCAAGCAGGCGGGGTTTTCACTTACGTTTGCCGTGCCGTAGAGGTCTTGCAAAATGAAGAGAGCACCCTGCCGTAAACATTCAGTCAGCGTATTGCAAACAAGTGGAAAGCCAACAGAGGTTTCAAAGTTACAAACACTGATGCGGAGCGGCTTCCCAGAGAGAATCGGAATGCAGTTAAAATGTCCAACTTCAAACTTCAAAACACGCATTCGCTATGTCATTAATATAAGGATGGAACTGGTTGAAAGAAAAAAAAAAGAGAGAAAAAAAAAGAGAAAAAAAAAGGATGCAAAAGAATGGTTCACTATGTCATAATATAGGAAGATGGAAGATGATGTAGAACTTCCTAAAAAAAAAAAAGAAAAAGAAAAAAAAAGGATGGAACTTCAGACTTACAAAAAAAAAAAAAAAAAGGGACGGAGCTTCATAAAAGAAGTTCACACAACTCGTAAGGGATAATTAGGAGATATCCATGGTCAGATGCAAATTTTG